GAGTAGTTGATGTTAGAGATGATGGAGTGGTGCAGCAGTTTGGAAAAGTTGGACATCTGGGACATCTTTAATCTCTGCCTCATAGGAACCAGCTTTGTGCTGATCCTTATGAAAGAACTTACTCGTTTAACATGTGATATGTGTCATTCACCTAAAAAGCTCCCCCCTCCCCAAATATTATCTATTTTAGCAGAGACAGGAAACTCTAGGTTTACCTAACTATAGGGACAAATGTCACAATTTATGTTAATTAAAAAATACATATCTTTTTATTCCACTGTGTTCTGACATGTACAAGAAATATACATATATGCAATTTAAAACTTCCTATACTATTCTGATATTTGTAGGAAGGCAAGTATTGAAACTTTAATATTTCTCTGAAATTGTGAGACTACTTTTTTTTTTTTTAACTAAGAAGCTCAAGACTATATCAGTTAACATTATTTTTCTTCATGTCACTTTTCCATATTTAAATATACATACCTGAGGTTACGAATCTCCAAATTATGTACTTAATAATGAAAGTAGGCCCCTTTGCCGCATAGTGTCTCTTCCCAAATGACAGCTGAAACATAAACTATGGTTTTGGGGAAACCACTGAACTTTGAGAATTCTTATGCCAGGGCATCTCCGAAAAATCCTGATATTTATTTCCTTCCGTTATTAAATACACAGAGACCCAACGACAACAATCTACTTAATTAATACATCCAGTTGCTCTTCGATGCATGAAATTCATCCTTTATAGCTGATACAAGGACTTTTTTAATATCAAAGAGCCAAGAGGGGATGCAGAACCAGGTACTGTGGGAAGAGGAGAGCTTGAAGGTGAGGGGAAGCAGGGAGGAGTGTGGGGGAGGGAAGTGGTGAGGAGAGCTTGAGGAGAGAAAATTAACGTAATGAGTATAGAAACCTCTTTTGAAGAGATTTGCCATAATGGAAAGGAGAGAAATTAGGCAGTGGATGGAGGTAAATGTGAACTCGGGTGGTGTTTTAAAACTGGAGATAGGGCAGCATGCGTGTTTGGTGCTGGGAATGATCTGGAAGAGAAGGAAATACTGAAGATGGCAAGAGGGTGTATTAGTTTCTTGGGTTGCCATAACAAATTACCACAAACTGGTGTCTTCAAAACAATAGAACTTTATTCTTTCATGGCTCTGGAAGCTAGAAATCTGAAATCAAGGTGTCAAGAGGATTGGTTTCTTCTGGAGACTCTGGGGGGAGAATGTGTCTCATCCCTCTCTGGTTTCTGGTGGTTGTGGGTGGGCTACCCACTATCCTTGGCTTGTAGACGCATCACTCCAGTCTCTGCCTTGGTCCTCACGTGGCTTTCTTGTAAGGACACTGGTCATTGGATTTAGGGCTCACTGTAATCCAGTATGACCTCATCTCAATTTAGCTAATTACATCTGCAAAGACCTTATTTCGAAATAAGGTCACATTCTGAGGTTCTGGAAGGACATGAATTTTTGAGATACGCTATTCCGCCCAGTACAGAAGGAGTGGTAATCATTGTAGAAAATGATCCTATGTATGAGAGGAGTAGGAACCAGCACATACGTGGAAAGGAAAGGATGGTCTAGAATAGCAACATTCGGAGTCGGGGTGTGTGTGGGTGAGTGGGCAGAGATGGGGGTGTGGGGGGCCGTGGGGAAATAGAGCAGGATGGTTTGGTGTGAGGAGATTGGGAAATTCTCACAAGAGCATTATGTGAAAGTGATCAACGAGTGAGGGGGGGTTGAGAAGAGAAGATTGTAAGAAGTGTTTTTCCCTGAGAGGGAGAGGGTGATTATGTAATAGTTGTATGATTGCTGGGCAGAGCTAAGACGCCACATGAGGTTTGTGGTCATAAATTTAAAGTGAAACCATTGGGCATGGATATGTGTTTTTCTCCAGCAACACTCAGCTCCCAGGGAGCAGGCACAGAATGAGTGTAGAGCTGAACTTAACCAGGGCAAAAGCCTTGAACAGACACTTTACCAAAGAAATGTGAATGGCAAATAAACACATGAAAAGATGCTTAACATTGCTAGCCATTAGGGAAGCAAGTTAAAGAAATGATGAGATACCACTACAAGACGCTTAGAATAGCTAAAATAAAAAATACTGATTCAAAACAAAAACAAAAACCTGTTGCCATCCTGTTGACTCCGACTCATAGCGACCCTAAAGGACAGAGTAGAACTGCCTCATAAGGTTTCCAAGGCTGTAATCTTTTACAGAAGCAGACTGCCACATCTTACTCCCATGAAGCGTGTGGTGGGTTTGAACTGACAACCTTTCAGTTAGCAGCCAAGCAATTAAATATTGGCAAGGATTTTGAAAAACTGAATCTTTTATACATTGCCAGTGGGGAAGTAAAATGGTGTAGCCACTCTGGAAAACTGTCTTGCAGTTTCTTAAAACTTTAGAATGTACACTTACCATGTTGTTGTTGTGGGCTGTCGAACTGATTCCAACTCATAGTGAACCTATAGGACAGAGTAGAACTGCCCCATAGGGTTTTCTAGGCTGAAATCTTTATGGGAACAGATCGTCAGGTCTTTTCTCCTGTAGAATGGCTAACGAGTTCAAACTGCCGACATTTCAGTTAGCAGCCAAGCATTTTAACCTTTACTCCACCAGGGTTCCTTACCATACAACCCAGCAATTGTACCCCTGGGCATTTGTCCTAGGAAAAACCTTATGTTCACGCAAAAAATTTATACACAAATGCTCATCCTAGCTTTATGTATAATAGCCAAAAACTGCGAACAAATCAAATGTCCTTCAACAGGTGAATAAGTAGGCAGACTCGTGCATCCATACAATGGAATGTGTTTTGGCAACTAAAAACAACAATGACAGCAAACTACTGATACATGGAACAATTTGGATGAATCTTAAGGGCATTATGTTGAGTTAAAAAAAACTCAGAAAGTTAGATACTATGTGATTCTATTTGTATAACATTCTTGAAATGATACAATTATAAAGATAGAAAATGGGTTAGTGGTTATCAGGTGTTAGGGAAGTAGGTGGGAGTGGGGATGACTCTAATGGGGTGGCATAAGGTTGATTGGAAGTTGTGAAAAACATTTGCCATTTGTAAAAATGGATAATATAATAATATTTATCTTGTGGAATTGTTCTGAGGATTAAAGGAGTTAATATATGTAAAGATCTTAATATAGTGCCTGGCATATGGAAAGAGCTTAATAAATGTTAGTGTAAAATTATATGATGGAGGATTTTGGCACACTTTTCAGTAAACTAATCCATACTTTTAAGGAAATAGTATTTCTGAAATTCTTATTCCATTAGAAATTAATTTTAGAAAGAAAAATATCCAAGAAACAAGGGTTAGGGTATCAGTAGTTAAATGTGGTCTGGTTATATGAAACTATACATGAGATCAAATGTCATAGGATTATACATAAGGAATTAAAAAAAAAAGAGTGTGTTATGGATTGAATTACGTCCCCCCAAAACATGTGTTGTAAATTTTAACCTCTATGTCTGTGGTTGGAGCACTGGTGGCGTCATGGTTTAGAGCTCGGCTGCTAACCAAAACGTCAGCAGTTCAAATCCACTAGATGCTCCTTGGAAACCCTATGGGGCAGTTCTACTCTGTCCTATAGGGTTACTATGAGTCGGAATCGACTTGACGGCACCAAAAACAACATGTCTGTAGTTATAATCCCATTTGGGAGTGGGTTGTGTTTGCTATGCTAATGAGCCAGGATTAATGTAGGGTATATTTCGAGTCAATCTCTTTTGAGATATAAAAGAGAAAAAATGCAAGTAAGCAGAGATGGGAGAAGAGAGATGCCAAGCCACATGAAAATTGCCTAGGAGCAGAAGCTCAAAAGAGACAAGGAACTTCCTCCTGAGCCAACAGAGAGAGAAAGACTTCCTCTAGAGCAAGTGTCCTGAATGTGGACTTCTAGCTTCCTAGACTGTGAGAAAATAAATTTGTTAGTTAAAGCCACACACGTGTGGTATTTCTGTCATAATAGCACTAGATAACTAAGACACAGTGCATGCAAGAACTGGTGAAATCCAAATAAGGTTGGCAGTCTAGATAATTGCGTTGTACCGATATTAACTTCCCGTTTGACAATGTGCTATGGTTATGTAAGATGTTACCATTGGCGGAAGCTGGGTGATGGATACATAGGACCTCTCTGTACAATTTTTGCAACTTCTTGCTAGTCTATAATTTAAAATAAAAAGTTAAAAAAATCTGAAAGGTTAGGTTGTTGGGTTGATCATCTACATGGATATTGAAGTCACCAAGAATGAGGAAAGGGGTTATACTGTAGAGAAGCCTATAATCCAGTTACATAGGACAGAAAATCATAATCATTCACATGCCCACCACTAAAATTAACTATATATTAATATTTGCTTCTGCTTTATCTTTAAAAATGTATAAATAAACCAGAGATACAATTAAAGGCCCAAATCTGCATCTCTTCCATTTCAGATCTTCTGAAAGTGACAACCAGAACAATCTACATAAAATCTTGAGGTGTAAAGAGTCCAATTAAAACTGAAGAAATCCTTAACCTAACAACAAATGGTTTCCAAGACAATTTCCACTGTGAAACTGACACTCAGGCTGCCAATGGCCAAACTGGAACTGGTGGAACATTGTTCTGGACTCTACGTTGGTTAGGTCCAGAGGTAAATAGCCACTGACCAGTGCTCAAGGAGCAAAGGCCACGTTTTTCCTTACTAGAGCCCAAGGTCAAATTGTCACAATGCCAATGAGAAGTGCCTCTGGAATACTTTTCACAAGTCTAATTTCCTTGACTGTTCTTATGCAGGCAGAGGGTCTGTCCCTAAGGAAATTTTTTTTCCCCCAAAGACAGAAAACCTAATGAGATCTAGAGGTAGCAGAAGTCACTCACTTATTCAGAACCAAGGTTTCCACCTGCAGTGACGTGTCCAATCACAAGACTGACCATGATTCTCAGGGGAACAAAATCTGAGAGAATAACTAAGAAATCTTCTTTTTCTGTTCTATCAGGTAGAAAAATAATAAACAAGGGGTGGTCAGGTTTCTCTCCTTTGCAACAAAACTAGGGGGAAAAAAAAGGATCAAATAAGAGGAAGATAATATGAGAAGTTTATTGGTACAGGCAGTCCCAGGGTAATGGATGTCTGACTTACGTACAACCTTTAGTTATGAACTAACCCTCGTAATGTCTATCATGTTAAATGTTTGAGGTAATACAATGGTTTTTAGTAAGAAATGGGGGCAACTTTGCTACACGCATCCAAACATTATTATTATTACTGTATTATTGTGTTTAAGATGTTTAATATATCTGGAAGTGTTTCTTTAATGTTTTTTATGCATTGAAAGCTACACTATGTACTATATACTAGGACAAACATTTATTTGACTGATGTTAGATATGAACCGTACCTAACTGTTCCGACTTACATGCAAATTCAACTTAAAGACAGATTTAGGAATGGAACTTGCTTGTAATCTGGGGACTGCCTGTAGTATCAAGAATCATAGAAAACTTCAACTTTCAGACTAATGCTTTTTCTGAGAAAAGCTAAAAAAACCAGGTGAGAAAAAAAAAATATCTTTGAAGACATTGGCGAGTCCCTGAGGCACATCAGAGGCGTGAGGCTGACAGAAGTGCAGATAATTATCAAGTCTGGCAGAGAAGTGTTGACTCTTCAGTCATATCTGATTGACCAAGGCAGAGGCTCTTGATCACTGCACAATTCTGCTTCTGGACATCACCATGGTTTCCTAAGGGAAGCTTCTTCCACATTCTTCTGCTTCAGGAGTATCCTGCAGAGCACTCTGGAGAACCAGCTTGAGGATTGGCCTCCACTGTCCCTGCCTAAAGGAGCCCACGGGGAAGTAAATGATAGGGTTGGCACTGTTGTTAACACAGGACAGGGTACGTGCAACCAGAGGAAAATAACAAAAGAATGAATTGTAATCTGTTTGAATCCAGTACCAAAGGGTCCGCTAGATGCCGGAGGGCAGGCCACAGAGAAGGAAGACCAGCACTGTAATTAGAATGGTCACATAGAGCCTAGTCAGCTGCATCTGCTGGGAACCACACAGCATCCTGACGACCAGGGCCAGGCTGAACCCAGAGAGGACCACAAATAAAAAAATCAGCCAGCCAGTAATGGAGAAATCAGATGTCTGGCACCAGCCATTGTTAAAGTCATTAAATAGGAAGCCACAGTAGTTCCCTTCCAGGATGCTCAGCAACAGGGATAGGGTCCAAAGCAGAGCACACGTGACAACCAATGAACGTCTTGAGCGGCGGCAGTGATACCAGGTGGGGCACAGGATGGACAGGCAGCGCTCAATGCTAATGGCACTGAGAATGCTCAGGCCTGTGATATAGGCAAAGCAGATCACAGTGTTGAAGAAATAGGGGATGGAGATGGAGATGCTATCGAAAAAGGTGATGATTTTACTCAAGGAATCTATAATCAGGCAGCAGAGGAAGAGGAAGTCGGCCCCAGCAAGATTCAGGATATAGACAGAGAAGGTGTTCCTTTGTAGGTGGAAGCCCAAGAGGGAGAGCACAATTGCATTTCCTGCCAGCCCACCCAGGACAATGACGAAGACCAGCAAGCTGCGAGTCAGGATCTTCATGTCACAAGTTACGGGAGAAACCGTATCACTTCCATTCATTGGTGTGAATTTGGTTCCCCAAGCAGGAATGGTTGGCTCCATGCTCAGAAACCCTCCACTCGTGCCCCTGGAAACACAAAGAAGAGATTAGTACCTGCTGTATAATCACCAATTCTCACTACCACCTGTTATGTGGGAATTACTGTCCCCATTTTCCACAGAAGGGGAATGGAGTCTTGCAGAGATTAAGATACTTATCAAAGTCTGGGGAGTCCTCAACTTAGATTCAAATCCAGTTCTCTAAAGCTTGGATTCTCCCTCCCATACTCTACTGACATGGAAATACACTACGGCCAAACATCCCCACTCACTACACTAGGCCACATCATCTCCCCCAGGATGCAGGTATAGAAAAGTCTGGAACAAGCTCTGTGGGACAATGACAGGATTCTGGGTCCCTGCATTCCTTCTATCCTGGGATAGAGGTTTCCTCTCAGGGGCAGAAAGTCAGAAGCCCCAGGCATGAGCCATGGGCCACCCTCAGTGACTGAGAACATCCATCCACCAGGGCCAGGTTGGACCCAGAGAGGACCACAAATAAAAAAATTAGCCAGGCAGTAATGGAGAAATCATACGCCTGACACCAACCATCCCTAAAGTCACTAAATAGGAGGCCACAGTAGTTCCCTTCCAGGATGCTCAGCAGGAGGGACAGGGCACATGTGACAGCTAATGTATGTCTTGGACAGCAACATCAGTACCAGATGGGACACAGGATGGACAGGCAGCATTTGGTATTAATGGCGCTGAGAAAGCGCAGACCTGTGTTGTAGGCAAGGCAAAACACAGTGTTGAAGAAATAGGGGATGGAGATGGAGATGTGATTGAAAAAGATGATGAGATTATGCCCTCATTCACCAAGGAGGAAGACCATGCTTTAGGGATCTAACAGGAATGTGACCACTTGCTATGACAGGTGTGAGGAAGGCCAGTGTTCTTGGGCTACAAATGACTCCATGTGTAAACTTGATGAGGACAGGAAGTACTTTTCTCTTGTTCATTGTGTTTTCCCAGTGCCTAGTTCCATGTGGTTCGCTGTGAGTCAGAATCAACTCAAAGGCAACAAGTTTGATTTTTTTGGTTTTAGTTCCACATGGGGGACACAGCAGATATTCCAGAAATTTTTATTCAACAAATGAATGAATCAAGAAATAAATTGGATCCTAAGGGTAGTGGGAGATTTGGATTAAATGTAGAACATAAAATTTGAAAGGACATTAAAATCACCAGAAAATGCATATGTAAAGAGATTTAGAAAATTTCACTCATGATTATACCTTCTGTAGAAAGCTCTGTGTGTGTGTTTGAAATGATTACTTTTATCTATTCAAATAGCTAATGATGGTCACTGTCCTGCCTCAGGGAGGCACTACATGGCTTTACTGAACACTTAAATGAATTTATGTACACAGTTTAGGGTAGGACTCAGGGATGAACAGAATTTCTCTGAATTTAGAGGAGAAAGGGACAATGTTCGGAAAGGAAAAGAGAGAGATAACAGTAAGGATGAACAGAGATATTTGGGGCATGGAAATATCTAGGGAGGATTATTAACTGGCTTGCCATGGAATGTGTGATGCAAGTCACTCTTTTCTCTTACCCAGATGATTTTAATGCAGTGTGCTTCTCTGAAGAAAGCATTTCGTAAGATAAATTTGAGAGGAGGGTGGTTAAAAAATTGCTCATATCTACTTTATGCAGAGTTTTAGGTGAAAAGAGAGATGCTCATGGAGATTTCAGTTGGGAAACAAGGACTAACTCACAACCAGGTGAACATTAGCAGCTAGTTGAGTACTTACTTGGTATTACCTTTTTTAATCCTCTAAAGTAGCCATATGAGGTAAGTGCTATTATTGGTTTCATTTTACAGATAAGGAAACTAAAGCACATGAAGATTGAATGCTTTGTTCTGGCTCTCACGCCAAAAAGTGATAGAGCCTGGATTTGAACCCACAGGTCTAAGTCAGAGTCCATGCCCTTAACCTGCCCTGCAGCCCGACTGCCACAGTAGGGTGTCAACTACATATGGAAATTGTGTGGGAAACAAATAAGTCTCAAGGACAAATTGGCAATTCATATACATGTATATGCTTTATTAGGTTAGAATATATAAATTTCAGAAATAGTAAGGAGGAGAAGTCCATCAAATATAGACTGAAGAAGAGGTGGATGGAAATCAACTGGGTCCAGATGGCAGGGCCTAGGAGCCCCTCCCTGCCTCCAGAAAGGCACCAGTCAGTCCAGACTGCCCAAGACTCGCGCAGGGCAGGATGATCCCAGTGGAAAGGAACCTCCTCTGGGATACTTCAGGTTGGCATACATGACTGAATGTATTCATCATGTGCTATTTTAGTTCCTACCGTGTTTTAGTCTCCTAGGGTGGCTATAAAAAAATACCAGATTGAGTGGCTTGAAAGAACAGAAATTTATTTTCTCACAGTTCTAGAGGGTAAAAGTTCAAATCAAGGCCTCGACCTTGTTGATTCTGTACTTTAGATGAAGGTTCACAGAACAAAGAGTTTCTCATTAAACAGTACACATATTGTTTTATGACAATGGTTAACAACCCCACGACATGTCAACACTGTCCCCTTCTCAGCCTTGGGTTCCTTATTACGAGCTTTCCTGTCCCCTCCTACCTTCTAGTCCTTGTCCCTGGACTGTTGTGCCCCATTAGTCTCGTTTTGTTTTATGGGCCTGTCTAATCTTTGGCTGAAGGGTGGACCTCGGAAGTGACTTCATTACTGAGCTAAAAGGGTGTCCCGGGGCCATACTCTCGGGGTTTCTCCAGTCTCTGTCAGGCCAGTAAGTCTGGTCTTTTT